CAAGCCGTTTAGGGCTTGGGACCTGGATATCTAAAGGAACGCTTGCACCCATATATGCCCTCCCGCCCCTTGAGATCAGCAACAGATGCCCTTCTCTGGGAACCCTCTGTGAATGATATTAGGAGGGTAAGTACCCGGAGGAGGGCTTTCTCTACGGTGGTGCCCCATCTATGGAATGCACTCCCCAGAGAGGTCCGCCTGGTGCTGTTGTTATTTGTTTTTCGGTGCCAGGCTAAGACCTTTTTATTTAAAACTTATTTTAATTGCTAAATTATTGAATTAATTAGGATTTTAAAATTAGCCGAGAATGCACTGGGGGTTTTTAAATGTTTTTTTCATTTAAATTATATTATTATTATTATTTATGTACGTTTTTATGTATTTTTTGTGAGCTGCCCCGAGGCTTTGTTGCGATGGGGGAGGCATAGAAATGTTTTAAATAAATAAATAAACCTGCAGCAACTTCTCAGTCCAGCTAAGAATGCCATCTGCTTAAAGGAACAGCAATGCTAAACAGTAACCTTGTTTGAAATTCTGCTGCTTTCTGAGAAAGGGGAGCGGGTTTGATTTTATAACACAGAGGCACATCTGAGCAACCTTTTTCTAGATTCTAGAAATTCTAGAATCTAGTTATTCTAGATTTCCCCAACACCCACCACGAGCTCACTCTGCCATGGCGGTTTGCTCATTCTTTGCCTTGCAGGAAGACAATTTGGCTGATCGAGAGCAGCACCCAACACACAGCCAGCCTGAGGCAGGCTCTCCCCAGCCCTGCCTGAAGATGCCAGGGATGGAGGCTTGGAGGCACCTTCTCTGTGCCAAGCAGGGGCTTGTGCCATGAGCTGCCATGGTTTCCTTCCACCTGCTCTGGCTTTCCCAGCAAGTGGGACCTGGCTACTGAGTGCAGTGAGGCAATGTAACCACTCCAGCTTGCAACTTGAGCTCTCACGAAGCTATCCTTGGTGCTGAACCACATCTGGGGAAGCGGTACAGGTCCAGCACCATGGACGTCACCTTCAATGCTCAGAGTCATGCTGGCCACCACTTCATCTAATTCACAGTGCAAGTTCCCCAGAAACTCTGCACCTCTGAAAACACCCACGGATGACCGTGTGCTCTTAATCCTGCAAGTTGGACATGGGACCCTGTAACCTCATCTAGGAAGGGCAACACTGGCCGATGATGTTCACCCCAGATTTTCATGGAGGACAAGGCACCGTGTGTCTGTGTGATGGTGTCCCTGCAGGATCATGTGGACTTACCAATCGGTTTGATCCTTTGGCCTTCCCTTGCCTCCCCATCCGCAGTAGCACCCGTACAAGGAATATTCCAGCACGGCATCTTTCCCAGTGACATCATTGATCATGTCAGCAAGCTCTAAAAGACTGCCATCTGTTACGATTCCACCTGGAAAACAGCCACAGAGAAGGGATTTCAGCCACCGGGGAAGTTTCAGGGAAGACTTCCAAAATTCTTCCTGTCTGAGACTCTCACTGTATTTTGCTGTTCCAGAGGGTTTCTTGAGGCCAACAGGGAAACACACGCTCTACCCGTGATTCCCAATCTCAAATGGGTACCAGATGGCAGCTGCAGTTGGTCTCGTTAGTCATGCTGCCTGGGGAAGATGGGAGCTGTAGTTGAACAAGGGCTGGAGAACCAGGCTTGGGAGCCACTGACTTGGGTGTGGCCTTCTTTGTCTCTGATTTTAGCACAGCATTGTACACGTGCAATTTGCCACCACATTAATGGGAGCATCTGAGGTTCTCTAAGAACTGGTGCGATGCATGCATGTTCTTCGGTTCATAGAACAGCAGGGTTGGAAGGGGCCCAGAAGGCCATTTGGAAGGCATCCAAAATTCTAGCCTGAACCTGGGCTGCCACAGCTTGACCTGATTATTCACTTGGAGATGAATGAGAAGAGGTCTTTCCCTTCCTCTTTGTGACAGCCGTTGAGGCATTTGTAGAGTATTCTATCTCCTCTCAGTCTTTTCTTCTCGAGGCTAAGCATGCCCACTTCTTTCAGTCCCTCATTGCAGGGCTTTGTTTCCAGACCCTGGATCATCTTTGTTGCCCTCCTCTGAACCCTCCCTAGTTTTTCTGAGCCAAATCAAGTGCTGCTCCACCTTTCCTATCCCACTCCCTCTGAACCTCTCCCTGCAATCATTGTTCCCTCAGTGCAGAGACTCATGGGATACTGGAGCTGGAAGGGGGCAGGAAGGCCAGTGGATCAACCCCCTGCTCTGGGCAGGACTCCAGGTTAAACCGTCCTGCTCAGATGGCTGTCCAGGCGCAACTTGAATGGCTCCAGGGTGGGACAACCCACAACCTCCGTGGGCAATTGATTCCATTCTTAAATTGCTCTATTGGTCAGGAAGTTCTAGCTGATGGTCAGCCAGGACCTGGCTTCCCTTTCCTGGAGGCCGTTACTCCATGTCCCTCACTCCGCCATACCACAAAAAAATCGAATCCCTACCAATTATCTGGGTCACTCTGATGTTCTAGGATTATGGGTTAGGGAGGAAATTTCTTCTCTCTCCACACCATGTGTGTCTGCAGACCTGGGTTGTTTCCACACATGTCGGGAGTTGCAGCCACTATCCTTGGTGCTGAAATCCAGCTGGTGTTCTCAGAAAGCCAGATGAAGGCACACAGGTTCTCGGCTCGACCCCGAATTCTCAGGTAGGCCTCGGGAAAAATTCTCTCTTTGACTCTGAAGGGCTTTCAACAGCCACTGCCTGTGACACTGGAGCAGTGGGACCAGCCCTTTGGCAGGTTCATGCTTCTAGATCTGGGTGATTGATCTGAGAGCAAGAATGCAAGGGGGAAACGGAAAAGCCGGTTGGTGACGCTTTTGGACTTACCGCAAGCCACCACGAGCAGTGCCAGTGTAAGCTGAGACATCTTTGTTATGGTGGACCCTGGAAAAGAAATTGCAGTATCTCAGCAACCAGGCAGAACCAACCCTTCTGGGTGAGAGCAACCGGGCAAATGGGTTTGAGGAGGCAACGGGGGGTGGGGGAGGCATTCTGCTTCCCCTGCAGCCCAGAATCCTCTTGGTGTGGGGAATCAGGTGATTCCAGAGGGCCAATCTGGTGCCCCCAACTTCTCACTTGATCCAGGATGGCACGATGGTTCAGGTGCCAGAATGGGGACCTGGGAGAGCTGGGTTCTAGGTCCCCACTCAGCCACAAAGTTCACCGGGTGCCTTTGGCCCTCCACAGACTCTCAGCCCACCCTACCTCACAGGGTTGTTGTTGTGAGGATCAAATGGAGTGGAGGAAAACAGAATGCAGAGTTACATGCTGTGATGTCTTCCAAAGGCAATGGGTAAGGATTTGCCCTGCTGTTTCAAGCAGAATCTTATGTAACCCTGAGGGCTTAAGTCAAGGCTTTCAAGGTCTTGCTATGGACAGGGATGGGAGGGAAATGCTTTTAAACTGCAGGAGTGGAATTCAGGGCCAGTCCAGGCTACCTAATTATTTTAAAGTATGACATCTATTTTCCTAGTTGTTATTATCTCAGGAATTCTCAAATCCATATGGAGCAACAAGCATACTTACAGCAAACTTTTAATTAGAATGGTTGTTTTCTGATTATAACTGAACCATGTCTCCATTTCCCATAGGAATGCCCAGCTGGGTCACTTCCTTGGCCTCTAGCCAGGGGTGGGGTTGCTTACAGGGCCGTCCCACCATTTTCTCTGCCTACCCCTAAATATTTGTTGCAAACAGATAACTAAAAAGACAAGTCACAGTTCTGATTTTAAAAGGCTTGCAAACTGGGTGAACTGCCCCCAAGTTTCTGGGCACCTGCCCCAAACCCTTCAGGCTGGATCCAAGTCTGATTAGAAACATAGAAACAGAGCGAGTCAGAAGGGGTCTCCCGGGCCATCTAGTCTGACCCCCAGTTCTAGGCGGCTCCGCTCATGACATGCCTACCATGTGCATGTCCAGCCTATCCTTGAACACCCTCACTGATGGGGCCTCAATGGCCTCTTGTGGAAGCCCATTCCACACCCTTGGGGTCCTAACCATCAGGAAGGGCTTCCTGGCACCCACCCTAAATCTTGGTTCCCTGAGCTTTGCTCCATTGGAACGCATCCTGCCCGCCACTGCAGGGGAAAAAAAGCCATGACCCACCTCTGTGTGCCCCCCCCCCTCCACGTACCTGTATGTCACTAACAGGTGCCCTCTGAGTCTCCTCCACTCAAGACTGAAAAGGCCCAGCTCCCTCCATCTCTCCTCATTTGGCTTCCCCTGCAGACCAGCCACCACCCCAGTGGCCCTTCGCTGCCCCGATTCCAACCTGGCTCTCTCCCTCTTGCAATGAGGGGCCCAGAACTGAACGCAAGGCTCCAGCTGCAGGTGCACCAGAGTCGCACAGAGCGGTAGCAACACCTCTCTCGAGCTTCCCTTTCCCAGAAGTTCTGTCTTTTAAGGAAGATGGGTTGGAAAGGCAAATGGAGGGCCCCCATCCTGGATGGAAGAGGGCGTGGCCTGTGGACGGCCCGGTCAGAGGTTTGGAACCCTTCGCAGAAGGAAACCCAACGAAGGGCTTGCCGTTGTTGCAGATTTCATGCCGGGGATTGGATGTGGGTTAGGCAGGATGGAGTGCGGTGGAGGGAAGCCACTCTACTCAAGCGGCGACACCAGGGCAGGTTCATGACTGTGTCCAATGCAGGGCAGAAACATTTAGTGCTGGGGGAGCATGGGGGCAACTGTGTGCAGGGGAAATTTCGGCATGGCAGAAGAGCACCTGCAGCAATCCCCACACTCCCTCTGCACCCATCAAGCGCAAGAAGAGGCCTCTGGCTCAGCAGAAGCTCTGTCTGGCTCTGCGCTTGTTCACACAGTGGCCAGCCAGTGACCTCTGGGAACTGCGCCCTCATGCCCATGCGCCACGCTCTGGTGCTGAAGCTGGCACAGAGCCTGCTGGGTGAGTAGCCATGGATGGCCTTCCCCCCCAGGAACGTGTCCAATCCTTCTTTCTAAACCCTCCAGCTTGGAGGCCATGACAACGTCTTGCGGAGGCTGATCCCGTTGTTTAACTATGTGTTATGTGAAGACGTCCTTCCTTCTAGCCATCCTGAATCTCCCACTGCTCAGCTTCATGGAATGGCTCCTTTGGGTTATGACAGGAGGAAAATATTTCCCCATCATGTGTAATTCTCCATCAAGGCTCTGCTTGCTCACCCTTTTCCCAAGCAAAAAACTCCTGCTATCGCAACCTTTTCTCATTAAGGAGTTGCTCCAACCAATGGATCATTTTAGTCGCTTCTTTCTGCACCTTTTCCAAGTTCCGTTTTCAGGCGCAGGCAGTCAGGGACCAGAATGGTCCTCATACCCTAAGACCTGCTGCACCATAGATTTGTTTCAGGAAAATATAATATTGGCAGCTTTAGCCAGTCTTTTCTTATTATACCTGACTAGAGAGTGTCCTTTTCACCCAGCACAAATGGAAAGAATTGTATCCCCACGTAATTTAACAGCAGGTAGCGAATGAGCAAGTAGGACATTATGAATGCATCATGCACAGCTTACAATGGCTCTGAAAGGGATCGGGGCAGCTTGCATCCGGCCGGCTGTTGTCCATTTTCTTTCAGCCAGAGCTGGACAATAACTCCAACCTGCTCTAGAGAGAGATCTCTTTAAATTGCACTCATGGAAATAAAAGTTCCATGGCATCTCTTGATTTAATTAAATGTGTTTAGTTGCTACAAAATCCTCATGCAGTCCTACTGGAGAGGAGGCCAGATCAGTCTGAAACAGCAAAACCTGGAGGACCTGCTCTAGGGACCCTTAAAAGCAGAAGCCTTTATGGTGACAGGAGTGTTTGGCTCTGTACTTTCCACATCTCATTTCAGATCGACCTGCCTGTTGACGAGCTCCCTATCACACCAGGTATATCGGCCTGGACATCAGGTCTACATGGCTCGCCTTTGTGGGCTTCCTCTCAGCTCCTGCGGATGGAGGCTTTGCAGGCCAGTCCCTGCGCTCTTTCGCTCTCCCCTGCGCCCCATTCTGCACTTACCTCTCCTGGACCCGGACGATCTGTTCTGCAGAGGGTGGCATCTCGGTTTGTTGTTTGGGTTTATATATGAAGCAAAACTAGTGCACCACCCTTCTTTGGAAGGCAGAAACAGAAGTCCAGGTTAACCCAGCTTCCTCATGGTTCTGTTTTTTAGGTCAAATACAGAAAAACTGGGAAATAGATAAGAAATCAGCGCCCTTTAAAGGAAATACCAAGGAGTTGCAAGTTCTTTGTAGAATCTCCTGGATCTTTCCTGTAGGTCACGTCAAGAAAGAACCCTAAAGTCACATTTGGAACTTGGCTAGCTCAATATGACCCTGATATTATTTGCCCCATGGAAGGGCTGGTGGGTGTAATCTATCCACAACAGAAAGCAGATTTGCCCGCTTTGCTGAGAGAATCATAACTTAAAGTTTCTAAAGAAATGCCAGGTTTCTTCTGATCAGTTGTCAGATTTTGAACTGGCTCAGCGTAAGAGTTTGAGACTGAACTTTTCACACGTTTATTCTTATGACAATTGTGTCCCACTTTTAGTCCTCTTTGCAAGGACCCCCCAGGTGGCTTATTTATTTATTTAAAACATTTGTATGCTTCCCAATTGTGACACAACACCCCTGGGCAGCTCACAACCAGAGTTGCATTTTATCCTCACAACAAACCTTTGAGGCAGAAAGTCAGGGATTTCAGCTTTCAGACAAAGTCCCCCAGTGTCCCTCATGAGCTCCCCGGGTGCCTGTGGGCTAGACCTCAGATCCCTGAAGTTTCTAACCACACCACCACTGTGGCCCTCAATTTTTGCCCAATTTGGGCACCAGGAAGTTCAGAATACATAGAAGAGATCCACAGAGTGTTGGAATAATTTGTTAGAACATCACGGAAAAGATGTGAGATGGACAATGCAGGATGTGTTTATCATTCATGGAATAAATCTTGTCTTCAGAGCTCTTTTTCCTCAGAGGTTTGGATTATTTAACTGCATTTTGTACACCATTTCCCCCTTCCTTTTAGCTGCTCTCAGAAACTCTCAGACAATGGACAATTTGCTTAGACGACATGAATTCCCACCATTGATTTATTAGGGATTTTAAATGCTGCAAATTCTCCACAAAACTCTGGAAAACTAATTTGTGTAATTCGATCCACGGACATAAGCAGTTTCTTGCTAATAAGTGATCTGTGTCAACTTGTCGGAAGATGCTGGGAAGCTGAGTCTGACCAGTTTTGCTTCTCTGAGCAGTAATTTGTGCTTGTTCACTTAGCGTTCTGTTGCCAGCCAGTTGTCTTTCCATCTGTCCTGGTCAAACAGCAACAAAAGTCAGTGTGTGTGTGTGTGTCCAGCAGGTGATGCCCTGGAGCTGGCCAGATGCTGACAAACATTATTATTTTATTATTATTATTATAACATTTCTTTGCCGCCCCTTGCCGAAACCTCGGGGCGGCTTACAACATGATAAAAT